TCGCCAACATACGCACAAACATTGGTGGTGTTGTTTTATAATTGGTAATTTTGTCTAATTTGATATTATTTACTAGTTTAAAAGCTTAAAATATAACTTATACTTTATGTACTTATCAAAAGTAAGACACTCCAGCCGTTATACTGCTTTTTCGGTTGTTATTTTTGCAACTTGCAATTATGCACTGCGGCATCGTGAGACGTGAGTACGTTGGCCGTGTTTGGAGCGAACTAAACAAAATAAGAGCTCACTTCTCAAGTGAGCTCTTATTTGTCGAGACGATTTTCTTGCGCCGACCCGATATCTAGTTGTTATTGTTGATCGAAGCTAGCGTCCGTCAGCGCTGACGACTAAACCTACGGCTTGGTCGTCTTTTGTTAAACTATGCGCTGATGTCATCGTGAGACTAAAATCAGCCTTAGATCGTGGGGTAAAAAGGACTAAAACGGCCAAAATAATAATTATTTTATAATTTAATTATTAAAAACGGGCTGCAAGTCACATTATAACTACAGAGAAACCTTCAGCCACTTGTACACTAAATAACAAATTTATTTTATTCTAATATCTAAATTTAATAATGGCTACTACGTGTGTGATGAGGAAAATGTATTATTTCGACTGTATTGGAAATTTACAGTTCATAGTACATTTTCGGTATGATGAGGGGATGAAAACTTGGTATAATAAAATATATTTAAGTAATATTTTATTACAACAATGTTGTATGAACACCATTCTACATACAGATCCAATTTAACAATATTTATTTTTAGAACCCACATCTGAAGTTGGTTCAATGATCAAAATCTTGTCTTTTAGTAGGCAGACGTGCGCGCAATAAAATGTAACACTCACTTTTTCGAAAAAACTAAAAAAAACAATCGAAACCCACGTTGCTGATGAGAAAGAGTATTTCTGTAACTCGAAAGTAGTAGAGCTTTTCTCAGAATATTAACATGTATCCCGTCATTTAGACTTTAGTATGACAAATTTTCTGTGGGTTCCTCCTAGTCGTGCAGTCTCTGTAGTGCCTTCAGGCCCTTTGAGTACCGTCATTATAGACACAATTAACTCGTCGAGTACCGGATTTGTAGACACAATTATAGAACAATAGGTTGCGGTCACCGGTGACCACTTGCTGTTTGACAGTTTAAAGAACAATAGGTTGCGGACACCGGTGTCTACGTCGTGCTTGACAGTTTAAGTCATTCTGCCTCCTACATATATTCATCGAGGGAAGTGAAAACTATCGTTTTTTTCTCTTCTCCTCTAACAATATCTTCTGATTAACTTCGTTGCGGGAACCGAGACAGTTATTTATGTGTCTGAGACGCGCCGGAATTCAGTGTTCCGGTGTTTCCATGGTTGTATCTACTATAGATCCTGGCTTACAGGAGTTGCAGCGGTTTTGCGAGGTTGTGGCGGGCTGGTCCCATAAAACACCCGTTATTTTTAGTTAATCAACGCTATAGTTGTAATTCTTCTATAAAAAGTATTATTAAATTGGATCAAAGTATGAAAAATGGATATCGATGAGAGATTGACGAATAGGCACTGCCTAACTGCGCAATGACAAATGCAATGATGAACACAAATCATACATACATCTTAATTTTATAATAACATTTCAAAAATATGCAAGATTTTGTTGAAAACATACCACTTACTACCCTCAAACTATAGGAATAAAGTTTATATTGCATCAAGACGCTTTCTAAACAAAATCTTACATATTTAAAATTAACTTTTCTACCAATTTATACTATCAAGCGTACAGGTTAAGAAAGTATGGAGTAATAAGACCAATGATAGGCGTTTATCACGTGATAACCATCCAACCAGAGGGCTTACTCTTGAATCCAATTCCGATCGAACGACATTGGCATTGTGACGTACTCATGAGTTGCAACACTAGCGCCCATTGCATCCGTATTGCGTGGATATTGAATGAACTAAATGGTAACAGTTAGGCTTTATATTATTATTCCGTACTCTGAATGCTATTTTAACAGCTACGATTGGGGTCGTATAGTTTTGACATTGAATAATTATTGAGATTTTATTGGAGTTTCAAGAGTAAGCCTGCTGAGCCCTAAGAACACTGAATTCATAGCTATTTTGGTATGAAAATCACACAAAAAATCGAGCATTGATAGAACCACTCAGAACTCTCTTACACAAACACATTTTGTAGGTGCAAACATTATTATTTCAGCGAATATTTTAATTGGTAAGGAACTACCAGAAATTATTTTATTACATCTTCAGAAATGTAAGGTTGACAATCTAATAAAGAACAAACTGATCTTATATTAAAATCGTCGTGTTCTTTTCACATTACTTCGAACGAAACCTAGTAAATTGACCAAGACAATTTCGAACTAAGATCAATCATTGATATATGCCTTAAGCAACTGAATCACAGTAAAAAGAACTAATATGAGGAACAATAAATTTTCTTTATATCATCGGCTTCTACGGTATATTCTGCAACTATATAAATGCTGTTTTCATAATGAAAAGTTGACTAAGATAAAGATCCACATTTTTAGCCACAAATTTAAGTATGTACGAAAAACCTTTATGGATTTTCGTACGACGGTACGGTACGTACGGGCCAGCCTATAACTTATATGTCCGTATTCGGTTCCTAGAGATAGAATATTGACATCTTGTTATAATACACAGTCGCTATCCGCCGTCTGTCTGCCCCCTTTGAGCTTTGAGTACCGTCATTATAGACACAATTAAAGAACAATAGGTGTGCGGACACCGGTGTCCTCACGGTGTTTGACAGTTTAGATCTTTAAAACTACGTAACGGATTGATGCAGTTTTTTTTATATGTATAATAACATGCATTTGCTCCCGTGCGAAGCCGGGGCGGGTAGCTAGTTATCTAAATATATAAAAATGACTCCCTTTTTCCCTTGGTCACGGCATCACGCGTGTGATAGGACCGATTTCACAAATCCTTCGTTTGTTGTATTTGTTATTATTAACTCGTCGAGTACCGGTTTTGTAGACACAATTATAGAACAATAGGTTGCGGTCCGGTGACCGCTTGGTGTTTGACAGTTTAAGAGAAGGTTCTTAAGACAGAAAAAATTCTAAGAATCCTACGGGGACGGGACAAAACGGGATTGCGCGTACAAAGTCGCGGGCAGATACTAATATTATAAATGCAAAAGTATGCGATTTTGTGTGTGTATGTTTGTTACTCAATTACGTCGAAACAGCTGAAGGGATCGCGTTGAAATTAGAAACAGGGGTAGAATATGGTATGTAAATAACACAGAGGCAACTCTTTATACCACGGGAACGCGTACGACAACGCTAGCAGAAGCTAGCACTACATAAATGAGCCACGGGAGGCCTAACGGGTTACCGGGAGTAGGAACCGGGTGGTTCTTAGTCAGTATGAGTCTGACGCTCCCAGGACGGGAGAAGTCATTCGATGATTTTCCCCCTCAAAAAAAAAGCACACTATAAATCGAGAAACATGTCAAAATTTTATCTCTAGTAGCCATTTTAGACATATAGGTTATATGATCTGGGTGTTGTGACGTCATAATAATGTCGCCACGTAATTAAATCTTTACTGTCTGTACACTATGGAGTCCTGTCCATCTAGTTTGCACTTTAATTCTTCTCTTCTTTCTTCTCCTGGCTTTGTTCAGTTTGCTGCGTTTGCTGTTGACCTTCGCGCTCTGCTGCCATCTGTCGGTAGAAAAGTACAATGTGTTATATCATGACTTGAACTTTATTACGAAAGTTATTATTGTTATAGTACACACGATTTCCGGCCACGTGGAAAAAGTACCCTAAGTTACTCTGTTCAATAAAAGTCCCGTAAAAATCAGTCCAACCATTCCAGAGACTAGCCAGTACAAACTGATAGTTTCAAATACAAAGTACCATTTTCGTACCCCAATCAGTAAAATTATTAAAAAAAAAATCTATGTAGTAGGAAATATAACTGGATCGCTAAATGATATCTCAGCGAGTTGGTTATAAAGTCTACTTTTGTGTAGCACACGTGCTTGACCGACTCGCTTTGAAGACAGCGAATAGGCTCAAATGTGTGCAAAGGTATATAATAAATAAATGTTTAACCGATGTCACCATAAAAAAGGTTCTATCTCGCGAGTGGCTGAACCGATGTTGATATTGTTTTCAGAAAAGCGTTCTCTTCAGGTTTTAGTAGTACTAAATTAAACTGTCAAACACCAAGCTGTCACCGGTGACCGCAACCTATTGTTCTTTAATTGTGTCATAATGACGGTACTTGACGAGTTAAAGGTTCAATAATACTTTGCTTAGTTCAGGAATGAAACCCAACAGCAAGCAACATTTGTAGCCACTGAAAAAGGCGATATTGTAATTCAAAATTAAAAACAATAACGGCTCTAGTGTTTCAGGTCTCGAAGTGCGACGCCGATTGCTTACCATCAAGTGATCCGTACCCTCGTAGACTAATCCCATAAAAAAATATCTGATCACAACTTAAAATAGTGTTAGTACCTCAATGACGCACAGTTAGGAAATCATAACCTCTTTTTTATTACAGTCGGTTAACAAGCACGTAGGGTGAATGAGCTTACCTTCTTGTACGCCTGTTCGAATAGTTTGAGACTGGCCTGTTGGAGCGTGGACGTGGCTGAGCGGATCTCCTCCGGGTCGGCGCTGTCCTTCTTCGCGAGCAACTCGCGGAGCTTCGCGATCTCACCGCGGAGCTTGTCGCACTGGACGTGAACAAATATAATTATTTAATGTAATGAATCTATTTTATATTATAATCTATGTCGTTATTTTTATCACACAATGAGTTTCTAAATTTCAACTAACAATAAAATATTATAAACAATACAACAATATTATTATACCTGAATAAGAATATTGTCACATATAGCATTAAAATATTGAAAAAATAATATGACGCCGGATAAGGCTATTATTTTTGTATATACTATATACATAGTTCGTAATAAGCTCCGATTTTGACTGATGTACTTGGAAAGTACTCAATTTCGAAGTGGTCTTGAAAGCTAGAAGGTAGATGGTTGGCAGGCCACAACTGTCCGCTTCTCACGTAGCTTCCTGCCTCGCACAGTATAACTGTGGAATGATCTGTCGTCGGCGGTATTTCCGAACCGATACGACCTTCAAACCTTCAAGAAACGAGCGTACTCCTTTTTAAAAGGCTGGCAATGCACCTGTGACTCCTCTGGTGTTGCGGGTGTCCATGGGCGGCGCTGATCGCTTACCATCAGGTGATCCGTCTGCTCGTTCGCCTCCTATTCCATAAGAAAAATCTCTATCAGCAAGTTGACATACCTCGTCCTGTGGCAACTGGCTCTTGTACTCGTCCATCTTGGTCTCAGTATCGTGCAGCACTCCCTCGGCCTGGTTGGAGACTTCGACTCGCTCGCGACGTTGCTTGTCCGTCGCCGCAAATTGTTCCGCCGCCTTCACCATGTTCTCGATCTCGTCCTTCGATAGACCGCCCGAGGATTGGATAACGACTGTGAAAAGGTTAAATTAATATTAAGGTTAAAGGTTATTTTCTTTTTCGATCACTTTGACCGGATTTTAGTGTTACATTGTTCTCGCACAATCCAAACAGAAAAACTATGTTACTAGAAAATTGTATTGTGAACCCGATTGAAAAAGAGTAACCTATGGAGTTTCTTACTCATTCTTCTCCATAGGAATTTACACTTTGGAATGAGCAAATAGCTTTACTTTTAATTTTTTTTGTTGACATTCAAAAGTGCCTGGTTCTGGTCTAATTAAAATAAATGATTTTCATTTTGAATATTAATAAAAGTTGCCATCATACTGATATTATTTAATGTGTATGTTTGTTACTCCTTCACGTCAAAACGGCTGAAGGGATCGGAATGAAATTTGGAACAGTGGCAGGTTACTGTCTGAAATAGCACATAGGCTACGGTTTATCCGACGGGAGCATGGGCGAATCCGCGTGCAGAAGCTAGTTATGTAATAAAGTAATGTGCCGCGGTTTCTAGGAAAGCGGCGAGCACTAGTCCCGCCACTAGCTGGTACCGCGACTGCTCTCGCACCGCTGCAAAAGTATCACGCGCACTGGCGCGGACACCGATCGGCGGTGCGTTGTATATTCTAAGTTATTTCTGTCACATTTTGTCTTCATATTTTTTATAGTTTATATGTTGTCAATGATATAGAGTGGCTTTTACTAACACACAGCGGTGACTTGCTTAATAATGCTATGGACTCACAACGCGATTTTCATTCGCGCCCGCCGCGGTTGCAGAATGGAGATTTATTTCCAAAATTCGGTTTTTGCGGTCTCGCAGCCGCCACGATTTTTTTTTATAGGGACAAGCTCGCGGCTACCTTCCAAAACCGCTGCAACTCCTGTGCACCAGGATCTACAGTAGATACAACCATGAAAATACCGGAACACTGAAGTCCGGCGCGTCTCAGGGACATGAATAACTGTCTTGGGTCCCGCAACGAAGTGAATCAGAAGATATTATAAGTGAAGAAAAAAAAACGATAGTTTCCACTTCCCTCGGTGAATTACTGCAGGAGACAGAGTGAATTAAGGGCACAGCGCGCGGGTGCCGCCGCCCGCCGGTACAGCGGGAGCCGCAAACAATCGCAACCGCGGCGGGCGTAAAACGAGCGGTGAAATGTGCTCAAATTATTTACATACATTTCTATGACGTATTCTACGAAGACTACGGATCCGCGACCGCGACTGGCGAGGGAAAAATCGCCTCATGAGTCTTTAGCCTTACTTACGTAAATATACTGAGATAAGCTCAATTAGGAAGAGTCATGCCTCGTTGGTCGAGTGGCCGCAAGTGACTCGGGTTCGATCAAGCAAAGAATTACTGGGTTTTTAAAAAAATCTCAGTAGTAACACAGTCTAGAACTGTGCCCGGTATATGGCAATAGGCTCACCCCCTATTACATGGGACTCATAACATAAATAGTGAAAAGTGGGTGTTACATTGTAAAGTGGTATAATGTGCACCTCTTCCTTCGAGGTTAAAAGGCGTGATGTTATGTTATGTGAAGAGTCATTTTTAGTTTATTCAGTAAGGGTCAATTTATACTACCGCAGAGTCGAAGCGCACCGAAGCGTCAAATTTTTCACAACTAAAGCGAAGCCACACGAATGCGCGCGTATTCGAGAGTATACGCGCGCACTCTTTGACGAGTAGTAGGTAATAGGCATTAACTGCATGGATTATACAGGCATTTATATTTTTGCACCAGTAAATTAATTTTTCGTCCGTATCCATTCGCTAGTGGGCGCGTGGATACGCGAGAATGCGCGCGCACCATTCAGCGTTGGTCACGCGCAAACGTGCGAATTCCGAAGAATGCGCGCGTCTTTTTAAAATCTCAGCAGCAATGCGTGCGTTACGCTGTTGGGTTAAGGTTGAATTTGTTACGTTCAGTTTTGAATAGACACTTCGATGCGCTTCGACTCTGCCCTAGTATAAATTGACCCTAAGAGCCTCACGATAGCTATTATATAGACATACTTTGTTGCTCCTTGCCCGTGCCCTTGTCCCTGGCGGAGACGTGCACGATGCCGTTGGCGTCGATGTCGAAGGTGACCTCGATCTGCGGCACGCCGCGCGGCGCGGGCGGGATGCCGACGAGGGAGAACTGTCCGAGCAACTTGTTGTCCGCCGCCATCTCGCGCTCGCCTTGGTGCACTTTGATTTCTACTTGTGTTTGGCCGTCGGCAGCTGTGGGATTGTTATTTAGTGTTAAAAATCGGTTTTAGGCCGAAATTAATAGTATTCTAGGTAAGTATTTGATAAATATTCAATAGGCATAATGTCAAAAATCGATTATAACTTAATCGAAACATTTAAAAAAACAAATCAACAAAATTTAACCATTTTTTGCATGAGTAGAGAAATGCTTATACTGTGTCAATAAAATTTTATTTATAGACAACCTTAAAATTTTAATATTTTTTTATAATCCATTTGTCCAATTTTTTTTTTACACATTACACGACATTGTACTACATGCATATGAATATACATACGATGAACATATGAAAATAACAATTTTATAGAATTTTTGTCTGTCTCTCTCTTTGTATTACCTAATCTCTGGAATGGCTGGACCGATTTTGCAAGACGTGCATTGATAAGTAGCTAATATATTAAGGAGTAACAAAAACAAAAGTTATTTAGGAAAATTGAAACAAAAATAAAGTTATGTTCTAAAATTCATACTCTACGCGAACAAAGTCGCGGGCTAGCTACAGCTAGTTCATTAATAAAATCACCCAACACTAACCTGTAGAGAACACTTGACTCTTCTTCGTAGGGATAGTAGTATTTCTTGTGATTAGCTTAGTGAACACTCCGCCGAGGGTCTCGATACCCAGGGAAAGAGGAGTAACGTCGAGTAGAAGGATGTCCGTGACGTCACCGGCTAGGACTCCGCCCTGCACGGCGGCGCCCACCGCGACCGCCTCGTCGGGGTTCACCGCGCGCGATGGAGCGCGACCGAAGATCTCTTGGACTGTTGATTGCACCTGGTGATAGCGAAAATATATTTTATATTAGACATTTTTAGTATATTATAAGTACATCTTGTTTACATAACATAACATCACGCCTTTTATCCCCGAAGGGGTAGACTGAGGTACACATTACGGCACTTAATGCCACTGCACAATGTAACACCCACTTTTCACTATTTATGTTATGAGTCCCATATAATAGGGGGTGAGCCTATTGCCATATATCGGGCACAATTCCAGACTCCGTGCTACCAATGAGATTTTTTTTAAAAACCCAGTTATACATTGCCCGACCCGGGAATCGAACCCGAAACCCCTTGCCCGGCAGACGCACAATTGCGACCACTCGGCCAAGCCAACGAGGAAAAAAGGTCACCGTAGCCTGTTTCTAATACTGGTACAGTGTATATGAGAAGAAATATTTTCAGTCTTGCTCTGAGAATCATATTATCTGGATTTTATGACTAGATTTTTATTATTAAATTATTTCACGTAAGACGTTTGCAACTACAAAACTAATACATAATTTATAATACAATGGCTTGTGTTATACATATTTTGTAAAAGTGTCTGTGAGCGTATAACCCGACCGCATATGAACACGACCGGGGAATATAACCCCAGATTACTCTGGCACCCGTCTAGAAGACTGCCTAGTCAGCCATAGGGGACTGACATCGGTTTGTGCTAAGTGCTCAAATAATGGATCATCATCACGGGCCCACAGGACCATCTACTGCTGGACTTATAGACTTCTTTAATTCATGAACTAAATATAATATAGTATACATTTGGAGTTTGCATAGTCAAATTGACGTGAAAACTTTGCTTGCGCGATGTAGAATTTGATGTTAAATTTTGCTAACAACGCCATCTGTCTGTTTATAGACGAACTACTTTCTGAGTTAGATATCTATTACCATACTTAAGTAGCTCAATTGAGAGCAACGCTAAGTTATTTTATTCAGTTACAATAAATAAAAATATATAATAGAGGAATTAATAAATTCAATTTTCAATATGGTCAGCAACACACACCTTTGGTTTTGCGGGTGTACTTAGACTTTATTAACAGTACAAAAAACTCGTGTGTAGGTAAATAATTATTTTTATTTATGTATATCTCTGAAATATACATGTTTATCCTCTTTATGTTAAGTAAAATAATTGCTAGCCTCTTGTACCTATCATTTACTATTCTCTGCATCACCCAAAGGTCAGACTGGGAGAAAATGCCTGCGGCATTAAGTCCACCTTGTGTACACTTTGTGCATGCTGCTAATAGAGTTCCTCTATGACTCGAAACTAGTAGAGCTTTTTTCAGTATATTAAAGAAAACGGATAATTTTAGTTGATTCAGTATGTCTCATATATGATAGTAATATAAAAATACACCCACAAAACACTATATACTACATTGACACATAAATACAATTGAAATGGACTATTGACTATATATGTTCTTTGTGTGTTTGTGTAATTTATTATTTTGATTATTTGATGTATGAACGAATTGATTACTATTTTTATTATTTTTAATTTATGATACTTGCTATAGAGACATTTTTTTAATTTATTTATAAAATGTTGAACCTGAATTCGTTTTTAATGTAATTTTACGGATTTTATTATCTGAAATAAATTGGTATTATTATTATAAATATTCCCTTACCTTAGGCATACGAGTCATGCCTCCAACGAGCAACACCTCTCCGATGTCGGCGCGTTGGACCTCCGCGTCCTGCAGGGCGCGCTGGCACGGAGCCACGGTGCGCTTGATCAGGTCACCTACCAGGGATTCCAGTTTTGAACGGGTCATCTGTAAATAAGGATAATATTGTTGAGAACATGATTTGAAACTCGCTTAGAAACAAAGAAAGCTCCAATTTGAGCAATTTTCCCTACCAACATTTCAATTATGCGAATATCATTTAGGAAAACTAAGTTCTTCTCTTTCCTTAAAAAACAAACGTGTGTGTTTTCAAACATATTTACACACACAAATTACAATTCAAGGGTGGGAGAGCCATGCTTCGGCACGAATGGGCCGGCTCGACCAGTGTGATACCACGGCCGAGCAGAAAACCGACGTGAAACAACGCTAGCGTTGTGTTTCGGCGTATGAGTAAGGTTACCGGAGGACTAACTACCCCCAATCCCTGAAACCCCGAACATTTCTCAAATTCCTAATTCCTAAAAGGCCGGTAACGCACCTTGTATTGTCTATGCTGCTTTCTTGTTCATGGGCCTTTAGCCAAACGCTACTTTAGCGCTTGTCTGCAGAGAGAGTAGAAAACTAAATGTATGGACATGACACTGACAATTGTGTCAAAATTTACATCAATTCCATATAATTTGGTTTTCTATTCTACATGTAGACAAGCGGTAAATGGCATTTGGCTACAGCTGCAGGTAAGAAAATATAGTATTGTCGCTCAGCCGTGCATTTTTATTTAAAGTTCAGTTCAAGATTACCTTTAATCATTCCACTGAACATTAGTGTCGACAATACAATCAAATACTCACATTTTTGCCTACAAAATTATATTAATTTCTATCACCTTACCTTAAGGTTCATGTGTTTAGGTCCGGAAGCGTCCATGGTAAGGTATGGCAGGTTGATGTCCGTCTGCAGAGACCCGGAGAGCTCGATCTTGGCCTTCTCAGCGGCTTCCTTCAATCTCTGCATGGCCATCGCGTCCTTGCGGATGTCAATGCCTTGCTGTGGGAATAATTATAGGTAACATAAGATGGTGGTATTATTAAGAACACGAATGAGTGGCTATAATCTTACTAATATTATAAACTAGCTTCTGCCCGCGACTTCGTACGCGCAATCCCATTTTGCCACCGTTCCCATTCGTGATTTTCGGTAAAAGTAAAAAAAAGTATTCTATAAAAAGTATCCTATATCCGTCTCCTGGTTCTAAGCTACCTCCCTGTCAATTTTCATCTAAATCGATCGAGGCGTTCTTGAGTTATAAATAGTGTAACTAACACGACTTTCTTTTATATATATAGATTAGCTTCTGCCAGCAGGTTCGCCCGGGTTCCCGTGGAACAAATACACAATTTCACAAAACTTTTGCATCTTACTATTACAAATGCGAAAATTTGTTTGTGTGTTTGTTACTCCTTCGCGTCAGAACGGCTGAAGGGATCGGGAGGAAATTTGGAACACTGGTAAGTGGTAGGTTACTGTCTGAAATAACACATAGGCATATTTATCGACGGGAACGAGGACGAAGCCGCGTGCAGAAGCTAGTTATGTAATATAAATAAATGTGCCGCGGTTTCTAGGAAAGCGGCGAGCACTAGTCCCGCCACTAGCTGGTACCGCGACTGCTCTCGCACCGCTGCAAAAGTATCACGCGCACTGGCGCGGACACCGATCGGCGGTGCGTTATATAAAACAAATATTTTAATAGCGCAGCATATTAGGCAGCATTAGTAGGCTGCGCGACATCGCCGCTACCGCACACGCTAGTTTTGTTTTTTGTTTTTTTTTTTTTTAAACATTACACATTAGAATTTTCTTTCTCCTATGTCGTGGGTGCGTTTACAAACACAAACAAGTTCACATACACGGGGCACCCAGACCGGGAACAACAATCTGTGGATCACACAAAGAGTTGTTCCGTGCGGGAATCGAACCCGAACACGTTGAGCGGCAGCCAGTTGCCCAGCGACCACGGCAACCGTGCAGTCTACATCAATACATAGTATAAAACAAAGTCGCTTTCGCTGTATGTCCGTATGTATGCTTAGATCTTTAAAACTACGCAACGGATTTTGATGCGGTTTTTTTAAATAGATAGAGTGATTCTTAAGGAAGGTTTGTATGTATAATACATGCATATTGCACCCGTGCGAAGCCGGGGCGGGTCGCTAGTTTATAATATATGAAACTTAAGTTAGTCGCATTCAAGTTAAAATACTCACATCACGCTTGAATTCATCGACAAGGAAGTTGACAATAACGTTGTCGAAGTCCTCGCCTCCGAGGAGTGTGTCTCCATTGGTACTCTTCACCTCGAACACTCCTTTCTGGATCTCCAGCACTGAGATATCGAAGGTACCACCGCCCAAGTCGTATACGGCAATGCTGGAGACAAAATATTATCTTATATTATACGGTTGTATAAAGCTAAAGAGTCTGTATATTTGAACGTGTTGATCTCTGTAACTGCTGGTCCGATTTGAATGATTCTTTTTGTGTTGGACAATGTGCGTCGCATTTAACGAGGAAGGCTATAAATAAACATACTATAAACCTATTGGTCCTAGCATGTTGTTTTATTTATATCATAACTAACATCATCACGCCTTTTAGGCAGATGTGCACATTACACCACTTAATACCACTGTGCAATGTAACATCCACTTTTCACTATTTATGTTACGAGTCCCGTGTAATAGGAATGAACCTATTGCCATAATTATACCGGGCACAATTCTAGACTCCGTGCTACTACTGATATTTAAAAAAATCCATTAATACTTTACACAACCCGGGAATCGAACTCGAGACTCCTTCCCTGGCAGTCGCACATGCGACCACTTGGCCAACGAGGCAGTGGTGTTCATGTGTGTGCCCGGTATATGACAACAGACTCACCCCTTATTACATGGGACATAAATAATGAAATATGGGTGTCATATTATACAGTGGCATTAAGTGCCGTAATGTACGTTTCTGGCTACCCCTCAGGGGATAAAAAGGCGTGATGTTATGCTATAAATAAAGCATCATGCTAGGGCCAATTTGAGCACAACAAGGCAGTGTGACTTGAGACTTTCAGAAGTTTTTATGTTCAAGTTCAGGTTTAGAACAATTAGTTATGGTAACTATAAAACAATGAATATTATAATTATGAATGTGTTCTTACATCTTATCATCAGTCTTGTCCATGCCGTAGGCGAGGGCGGCAGCGGTCGGTTCGTTGATCACTCTCAACACATTCAAACCAGAAATTTGACCTGCGCAACAAAATAGACATTGTAATATTTTTCTTTGAAAAAACTTCATTTTACACTAGCAGTTTGGGTACGTTTAAAATTTAAGATACCTACACATGACACCCAGATCCGAAACAATAATTTGAGACCTTCATATTCATACACATGAAAATTAAGTTTTATTAACCCATAAATCCCCAAGCGGTCACTGGTCACTTTCACACCGCTTTCCACTAATATTACATTACATTATAGACCTTATTTCTAATGTTTAGAGACTACTTTTGTATGACCAAATTTAGGGGATGGATTTCAACGGGTTAATAAAATTAGGTTAATCACTTCATAGTGGTCCGTACCACTATCTGATCCAAAATTCTGCATCAACCATTATTTTTGACAGAACTAATGTCGAAACTTGATCGTAATCAAAGAATTTGGAGTTTTTGTTTTTTTATTTCTCCCCACAATGGCATTTAGAGAACAGAGAGTAAAGTTCCCTAAGATTGGAAAAGGAGTGTCCTCCGACCAGAGGGCTTACTCTAGAATCCAATTCCGATCGATCGACATTTCGTACTCTTGAGTTGCAACACTAGCGCCCATTGCATCCGTATTGAGCGGATATTGAAAGAACTAAATGGTATTGAGTTTGGCTTTATATTCCGTACTCTGAATGCTATTGTAACAGCTACGATTGTGGTTGTATAGTGTTGATATTGAATAACTATTGAGATTTTATTGGATTGAAATTGCATTGACATTGAGATTGGTTTCAAGAGTAAGCACCCAGGCAAAGTGATCGTGCCTGGCGAGCTTCCTGCCCAACAGTTGTTCGTTGGGAATTTCTATCCGTGTTAATTCGCATGTAAACTTCACAATCATGTGCGATGTAGGATTTTATCACGTCATCCGATCATTTTGTTCCCATCGATGCTCAACGTGCGTGACTGCGTGAGCGGTCATTTGACATGTGACGCTACAGACACTGATTCTAGGCTTTACAATTTATTTATAACCCTTTTTTATCGCAATGCGAGGAGCTTAGTCTAAGTTACGCGTAAAATACCTGTATTACAAATCTCCACGAAAGAACAAGAAGTTTTAAGAACGTGAAATGTATTACTAATTTTATGTGCATTGATCAGTTTGAGATCTGTAATTCGTGATTAAATATGCTTAAAATGATCACAAACCTGCATCCTTGGTAGCCTGTCGCTGGGAGTCGTTGAAGTAAGCCGGTACGGTGATGACTGCGTTCTTCACAGAGGTGTTCAGGTAAGCTTCGGCGGTCTCCTTCATCTTTATCAGCACGAAAGCACCGATTTGGGACGGGGAATATACTTTGCCGTCGCTACCTGTTTGGGTTAGAAGATGTTTATTTTAGTTGTTATTTTTATTTAAAAGGTAAGTAGATTTCGAGAGTAAATAGTATGAATTCTGTAAAACTTGGTGACAGAATTTGATCACAGTTTTTTGCTAAAACTTGGCATTAAATCAAATTGATGTTTTTACGTTTCAAAATCCAAAACCTACGAAATAGCATAACATTACGCCTTTTATCACCGAAGGGGTAGGCAGAGATGTACATTATGCCACTGTACAATGTAACACCCACATATTACTATTTATGTTATGAGTCCCATGTAATAGGAGGTGAGCCTATTGCCATATAACAGGCACAATTCCAGACTTCGTGCTACTACTGAGAGTTCGAAAAAACCCATTAGTACTTTGCCCGACTCGGGAATCGAACCCGAGACCTCTTGCCCGGCAATCGCACATGCAACCACTCGGCCAACCAGGCAGTCATCAGCCAAAACCTAAGAATATAATATATTCTATGGAAGTAGTATAATACTTTCGCAAGTTGCGAATCGAACCGGTCACATAAACATATCTATTCATCAGTCATGTCTATGCTTAAAATTATTAACTATGAGTTAATGTTAGCAGTATACATATATAACATAACATCACGCCTTTTTATCCCCGAAGGGGTAGGCATAGGTGCACATTACGGCACTTAATGCCACTGTACAATGTAACACCCACTTTTCATTATTTATGTTACGAGTCCCATGTAATATTTTTATATTTCCCTTTATTTCCCATGTAATAATACCATTATACATATATTATGAAAATTTGAAAGAAAATGTGCCGCGGTTTCTAGGAAAGCGGCGAGCACTAGTCCCGCCACTAGCTGGTACCGCGACTGCTCTCGCACCGCTGCAAAAGTATCACGCGCACTGGCGCGGACACCGATCGGCGGTGCGTTATACAAATATTATATAACAAAAAACCTAACAAGATTATCAACTGTCGATACAAATTTGCCCCACGAGGAAGAGAGCTATGCTTCGGAACGAATATATGTCAGCTCGACCGGAGTCATACTCGATAGAAAGCCCTTGTGAAATTACGCATGCGTTGTATGTTATGTGAGTGAGGTTACTGAAGGCTGGTGTTGTGTGGTGATACATCTGCTTATTTGCCACCCTAAAATACTAAGATAGTAAATACATTTTCTACTTACCCTGCACCCAAGCATCACCATTGGAAGCGCGGACGACCTTGTAGGACAGATTCTTCATATCTTTCTGGACTTCAGGATCATCAAAGCGTCTTCCGATCAGCCTCTTGGTGGCGTAAAAAGTGTTGCCGCTGTTCGTAACAGCTTGGCGTTTAGCCGGCATACCGACGAGACGCTCGCCATCTTTGCTGAATGCGACGTGGGATGGGGTCGTGCGTGAACCTTCGCTGTTTTCAACCACCTGCGTGGTAAGAATGTTTTAAGTTAATTGGTGATTTTAACTCGTCGAGTACCGGTTTTGTAGACACAATTATAGAACAATAGGTTGCGGTCACCGGTGACCGCTTGGTGTTTGACAGTTTAAATGGTATAGTTGAGGTGTCGGCGAGGCAACAGGGAGTGCCAGACTATTACTGACTAAAAACCACTCCGTTTCTACTCCTGCTCTTCGAGACGGAGCCCCGGCAACCCGTTAGGCCTTCCTCGGTTCGGGCATCAGCCCTACCCAGTAGGGCAGCCTACCCATCTGTATAATGGCTTTTTGAGGCGCGCGCAACGCACTGTACGCAGACGTCTGGGCGGCGAGCTACCCTTATTCGCCGTCCGCAGACCCGCACTTACGGTGGCCGGAGAGTGTCTCCCGCGAAAGCTACTTTATTATATCTGACCATGAGGGCGAAGCCGCGGGGAAAACTTAAAAGTTATATGAATTATTATTTGGTAAAAATACTGAAACTACCTTTTAACAGTTTTCGACGTTATTACATACACAATTAGGTAAGTTTATCCCGAACGATTTGTCACAGTAGGTACCACGACTCACGTGACAAAACTATTCTATTTTTATTCAAACGAGTGTCAACTATAAATAGAAGGTTTGAGAATACAAATTGTCTATAGGTAGGTATATTGTTTGGGAGTATGCGATGCTAGGTACAATATCCGGGTCAAATATCGCTTGACGAGGTCTTTAAAAGTCTAAAATCGAAAAACCTCAACAATACTTATTCTACCCGACCCGGAAATCGAAACCGTAACCGTTTTACACGGCAGGCTCATGTCTACCCCTACAAAGTTTTATGGTATACTAGCTACTTCCGCGCGGTTTTCCACGCTCTGCTCAGCCCCTATTGGTTGTAGTGTGATGTTTATAGCCTATAGCCATCCTCGATAAATGCGCTATCCAACACAAAAAGAATTAAAGTGAGTTTGTCTGTTCTGCTTTCACGCCGTAACTACTAGGTTTAGGTACTATACGTAAAGTTAAGTCTGGATTAAATAATAGGGTACTTTTTATCTCGGAAAATTTTGATATTCCCGAGGGAAAAACTGTGTTTCTTTGCCTGTCTTAAACGGCAGAACGGAGGTACTAATTAAAGTGATTTTTCAACTGAAGGTAGATTTTTTTTTTTTTTTTAAACGTTGCCCCACACTAGGATTTTCTCCTGTGTCGTGGGTGCGTTTACAAATATACAATATCACATACACATCACACCCAGACCCGAAACAACAATTTGTGGATCACACAAAGTGTTGTTCCGTGCGGGAATCGAACCCGCGACACGTTGTACGGCAGCCGGTTGCCCAGCCACCGCACCAACCGTGCAGTCAGTTGAAGGGATGGATAGTCACATAGGCTACTTTTTATCCTTTTGTGACGCGAGCGAAGCCGCGGGTAAAAGCTATTAAGAATAAGTATATTAGCTTCTGCTAGACTTCGTGCGGACAATCCCGTTTTGTCCTGTTCCCGTTAAATTTTCAGTAATTCCTTGGATAAAATCTATCTTATGTCCGTCTCCTGGGTCTAAAAACCTGGACTTTAAACCCTAATAAGATAACAATCAGCGAGTTTAAGCGTCAAATTCAAAGTCCTCATTTTTAACACTAACGAAACTTATAAAAAGATATCTCTCACATAGCGACACGCATAGATAAGAAAGTTATCAAAAAATGTACGAAGGAACAAGATAAGAATTATGTAATAAAAAAAAACTGTGCCGCGTTTTTTTAGTAAAGCGGTGAACACAAGTCGAATAAAAACAGATTTTTTTAAAACGTCCTCGTCTAACTAGGATTTTGTCCTGTGTCGTAGGGTGTTGAGTTACATATTGTAAGAACGTGAATTAATTTAGTAAGTGATGGTCCTAACACTATAGTGCATTATACAGGGTTATACGTCAAAAAACTACTTTCTTTTCCTAATTAAACTGTCAAACACCAAGCGGTCACCGGTGACCGCAACCTATTGTTCTTTAATTGTGTCTATATTGACGGTGCTCGACGAGTTAAAGCAGTTGGCTCAGAATTTAAGATTAAATAATACTGAAGCACTATTCAGGATAACGTAAGCAAAAATACATATGAAAAAATACAGAATTGTAGCAACAAGAGTCCATAGTCTAGCACAGGGTGTACTTTTTCGTAGATAACACAAGTCATTGTAATTTAAAAACTATCTGACTTGGAATATTTTTCATATTGTTTCGATAACTCGATTTGTAATATCTACCTACAATGTTAATAACAATGAATGTGTACCTACATAACTAAAAATGTTGCAATGTCTGTAAGAGGCCGCTAAGTACTAAGCACTGTAATAATTTTATAACCACCATCTGTACACTTAGTTGCAATAAACGCTTTGACTTTGACTTTGACTTTAACTATAGGATCCTTGCCGATCACCAGGTGCCATTTCATCGTCGACTTCAGGGACATCCTGTATAAGGTCAACAACTGTCACAGAGGGCACTGTCTATCTGTGATAATAATAAATGGCAGTAAAATCAATCTAAGTCGTAATCATTAGTACACCAACATAGTAGTGTGTGCGTTTACAAACATTCAAGTCCACATACACATCATATACGTCGCGGAGAACCTAACGGGTAACCGGGGCTCCGGCTCGACGTGCAGGAGAAGGAACGAGGTGGTTTTTAGTCAGTAAGAGTCTGACACTCCCTCCCGCCTCACCCAGGCGGGAGCAGTCATTCGATGATTTTCCCCCCTTAAAAAAAAAACACATTATATAGACTCGGAACAACAATTTGTGGATCACACGAAGAGTTGTTCAGTGCGGGACTCGGTCCCGCTACACGTTGTGTGGCAGCCGGTTGCCCAGCCACTGCGCCAACCGTGCAGTCGAGTTAAGCAAATGTAGTCGTAATAAAAATTCCAAAAAAGAAACCCTGTTGTTTTGTAATATTTATTTCTTGTATGTGTTGAACATAAAATAAATATAAATTGTGTATATTTTGTAATATGTAAAAATAAATGTGCCGCGGTTTCTAGGAAAGCGGCGAGCACTAGTCCCGCCACTAGCTGGTACCGCGACTGCTCTCGCACCGCTGCAAAAGTATCACGCGCACTGGCGCGGACACCGATCGGCGGTGCGTTGTATTAAAAAAATAAAAAACAAATATCCACCACCAATTAAAAGTTAATTTTTTTTTTATGGAGTAGGAGGCAAACAAGCAGACGGATCACCTGATGGTAAGCGATCAGCGCCGCCCATGGACACCCGTAACACCAGAAGAGTCACAGGTGCGTTGCCGGCCTTTTAAAAAGGAGTACGCTCTTTTCTTGAAGGTTTGAAGTAGTATCGGTTCGGAAATACCGCCGACGACAGATCATTCCACAGTTTTGCTGTGCGAGGCAGGAAGCTACGTGAGAACCACACAGTTGTGGCCTGCCAACTATCTATATGATGGGGATGCATATGCTGCATTTTATGGGGGAAAATCATCTAATGACTTCTCCCGCCTGGGCGAGGGAGTGCCAGACTCTTACTGACTAAAAACCACCCCGTTCCTTCTCCTGCACGTCGAGCCGGAGGCCGGGTTACCCGTTAGGTTCTCCGCGACAATTTGTCAAGTAATTTAATATTTTAAAGAAAAAGACTAAAAATATTAAATTACTTGACAAAATACAAACTTATGATAAAAATGGAGTTTAAATCAATAGTCATTTGAATATATGACGTACGGCCATGTTATTTTATCTATCTTGCGCAACTGTGACGTCACTGCGCAGACTTCTACGTCAAAGATTGAAAAATTAACGACAATCTCGTTGGTTGAATGGTTGAAGCAAGGTGTTAAGAATAGTTTTGTAGTTCGGGCAAGCTTATAGATAAATCTGAATTTATAAGACCTTTATACAAGCAATTCTTGTATATGTCATGTATCAATGATTTCAGAAACGGCTTCAACGATTTTCTCGATATTTTGAATGTAGGGACGGTTTCAAGGGCAGCGATAAATCAATCTACCTAGATTTCATTTTCAGAAATTGTCGTGTACTAAAAAAAAATGTTATCCCAGTACTACTCCTTAACTAAGATATTTTGTGCACCTCTGCCTATCCACTCAAGATTTACAAGGCCTGTTAGTCATATGACTTACACCACAAACATGTTATTGAGGTTTCAAATAGTCAAAGCCTGTCATCAATCTACTACTAATACCGTAAAACATTGTGAAAGTTTGTTTGTTCGGCTCTAACGGCGAAACCGCTAAGCCGATTATGATGAAATACGGCGTAAAGAGGAAAACTGTCACGCCTTTTTACTCACGTAGCAAAAGAAATACATTTTTTTATATGTACTACTAACTTCTGTCCGCGACTTCGTACGCGCAATCCCGTTTCTCTCATTCCCTTAGGATTTTCAGGACTTGTTTCTGTCATAAGAACCTTCTCCTGACAATAACAAACACAACAAAAAAAAATCAGCCAAATGGATCCAGCCGTTCTCAAGTTATGGCGTGACAACGAGGAACGGGTTTCATTTTTATGTTTATAGATAGAAGACTAGCTGACTCGGCAAATTTCGTACGACCTACAAATTATATTCTTAACTTTTAAACCATAGCTGAACTCCAACAAACATCGCAAGACCAAAATGAGCCAAATCAATTCAGCCATTCTCGAGATTTAGCGAGACTAACGAAGGGAAACTCACTTTTATTATTTACTAGCTACTTCCGCGCGGTTTCACGCTCTGCTCAGCTCCTATTGGTCGTAACGTGATGTTTTATAGCCTATAGGCATCCTCGATAAATGCGCTATCCAACACAAAAATAATTATTCAAATCAGACCTGTAGTTACGGAGATTAGCGCGTTCAAACAGACAAACAAAAAAACAAGCTCTTCCGCTTTATATAATAGTATAAGAGTATAAGATATGTATAGATTACAGAACGCACGCGCCTCAAAGAGCCATCAGAGAGCCTAAAAGAACCATCATCTCCATCAGACCGCCACTGATGGAGCTGCGAACAACTTTGCAGGTTACCAGGGCTCCGGCTTGAAGTTAAAGTTTCATACTCGCCCCTCTCGCCTCACCTAAGGCGGAAGAAGTCATTTGATGATTTTCCCCCTCAAAAAAGTCTACATGCTATTACACTACAGATACTGTCAAAAGTCTAAGAACCACTACAGCGTTTAGTTCCAGACTTTGACAAAACTTGTTAAAACGACTACACAAATAAAAGTACAACTGTGTGATGTTGTACTCGCCACACAATAACTGAAGCTTCACCTTGAAGATAACATTAGTAATTTATTCCCAAACAGAATCAATGTCATTTTTATTGTACTTTTTCTTTGAGAATAAATACTTATAAAGTTATAGTAGCATATGCAGAGATGTAAATGCTACTATAGACTTACACGCAGAATACACACACACATCGACACGAAGGACATCTGTCGCGTGACATGCCCCGTCATACATTACTGTGTTGCACACATAAACACTACTGACACTTTGGTGCTTCAATCATTTCAAGTGACATTACGCCCGCATTTTTTTCACGTCTTTGAAATCAGTTATGAATGACCTATTTTTCACTAGTAATTTTTCTTTTATTTTTATTATGAGTACTACAATTTGGTAGTCTGTGTAAACACAATAGGCCATTCAGATGGGGTATCTTGTTTACTGTCTTGTCAGCAGTAGGAGAATTTCCTTGTATCACGGTAAGTGAAGATTCCAACCGGCCTATCTGTGGAAGTCATTGGGGGAGGCTTATGTTATGTAAGTGGAATAAATAAATAAATAAATGTTCAGCAACGGCCAACATACCCTATGGCTGATATGATGATGTATATGTAATGTAAGTGGAATAAATAAATAAATAAATGTTCAGCAGCGGCCAACATACCCTATGGCTGATATGATGATGATGAAGTAAAGATACACTATAAGTTTCAATCTGAGCACCAGTAATAGAGAAAAAATAATAATATAATCCTTTGTCTTATCCAGCAACAGAACTTGATAGACATCACATCAACCGCCTGTAAATACCCACTGCTGAGCAACGCACTGAGAAGGGTGGAGTATAAATCACCATGCTAGCTCTATGCGGATTGGTGATTACAAACTTAGAAATTATAATTACTTGATAGCCATGCCATTTCTTATTACCTATTATTTCATCAGCTATCATTTCATTTCAAAATTCTCAGCTATATCTAATCTAGTGTGATTTATTATCTACATCTAGCTGTTGCCTGTGACTATGTCTGCATAGAATATGATTCCTGTTTTATCCCATAGGAGCATTGATTGGGATAAAAGTATCCAATCGCGCTAAGTCAGCCCATACCCTGTCTATATATCAAAATCCGTTCAGTAGTAAATCTGCACAATATTAAGACTAATTCCTTAAATTCATGGCGCTGTTTCCACGAAGGATGCCTACTCGACATCGCTTTTATCAATGAGACTGCATATAATTAATTATGTACTAACCTCTGTACATATAGAAATCCATATAATTGTGTGATAAACAATAAAGTTGATTATATAGTGTCATACCTTAGGTGTCTTGCCCTCCATGACTGCGACACAGGAGTTGGTGGTGCCCAAGTCAATACCGATGACGGCACCGCGGACTCCCTCTGACCTATGATCATAAAGTCAATATTAGAGTCTTTTAGATTGCATAGTTGTCGCGGTGACTGGGCAACCGACTGCCGCGCAATGTGTAGCGGGTTCGATTCCCGCACGGAGCAACTTTTTGTGTGATCCACAAATTGCACCCGTGACACAATATGAGAAAATCTGTGTGGACAACATTTAAAAAAAAAGTATGTCGAAATACTCAAACACTATTAAAATTTAATCATCATCATTATAACATCACGCCTTTTATCCTCGGAGGAGTAAGGCAGAGGTGCACATTATGCCACTGTACAATGTAACACCCATTTTACACTATTTATGTTATGAGTCCCATGCAATAGAGGGCGAGCCTATTGTCATATACAGGGCTCTATTCCAGACACCATGCTCAATTTTTCTTATACTTTAAAATATACTTCTGTAACTATAGATACTTTGTAAAATGACAGAGATGGCACAATATTTAAGTATAAGTTAAAATTGGCCTTTCAGTATTTGGGCTTTAGGCTTATATTTGTTGGTACCAGTATCTATTAATTGTTACTTGAGAGTAGGGAAATATAATTATATTATTGGATAGATTGTGTGAGAAATAAAATAGAGGCAGGAAGACAGTGAAATTAGTTTCTTTTATGACTCTTTTTATTTTATCATTGATTAAATCATTATTATAGTAAAGGTATTGATATATTTTGGATAATTCCATTTGTATTTTACTTATGAATCTTTACTTTGACATTTAAACATCAAACTTTTGGTTTCTTCATACAAATAAATACAATGAAACTGGATACTGCTGGTAGCATAGTTTTATTTATCAGAGAAAAGTCTTCTATGGTGGAGATGTCAAGCAAATCATAGATTTTAGTTAAACATCTTTCATTTTCTTGTACTCTAACCTCACATTTTAGTTTTAGGCCTAAATTAGTTTAAAATGTACTAAGATTATCAAAATTCAAGTTCAATGGCTACAAATTTTATCAAGCTTATTATCAGTGATTTAAATTACTTAATTATTATAACACTAGGTCAGTGTGCCAAATCGAAAATTGGAATTTATACCTAGACTCCTAGAATTACTACATTTCTCATTAGTTTCAGCAAGGAATTTCTTATTGGAAATCTCTAGGAAGACCCATTGACCATAAAATGTGAATATTCAGCTAGAACTTAGGGACCCATTACCAAAGGTCAATGAACCAAGTTTTTATGTGAAGAATATAAAGCTCTATAAATAATTTATACACCCTTACAGCAAGGAGGTCGAGGCCTATCGGCTGAACTCCTTCTTTTACTATGCATACAAAGGTCAATCAAGATATGCAATAAGTTAGGTTATGATGAAATATCAAGAAAAAATCGATATTTTAACACTTACTTGTTCCTGTACTGGATAGCATGTTGCTGGTAAATAGGCACAGTGGGGGCTGCGGTCTGAAAAGCACGATAATATGGCTAAATTTTAACCTAGACATTTTAGTAGTTGGGTCCATGTGAACTACGAACCGGCACCAAAATTTAAAAGAAACACGGATAAATATTAAAAAATGCCGTAGGGAACTAGAAATTATTAAGTTTTTGACATTTTCAGACAATGTGACAAACGATTTTCATTCGTTTTCTGAAGTAAAATGGTCACTCACGTTTCTGAGGATTGACGAGAAATTCCTCTGTGTGTAAATGTCTGAACTAAAGCCGGAGCACTCCAAAGCCTTGCGGCTAATCACCCGCGTAGCGGTCAACATTTTTGCGACAATATTATCAACTATTTAATTTATTTGCAGGCTTTATTTCACTTCAAACAGAACATGTGGGTGACGCAACTTCTTGAAAGAACGATTTTGACTTTTTTTTCTAGCACACCTCGAAGAATAAAACTTGCCAACATGAAAAATATAAATCGTGCGCCCTAGAATGTTCTCCTTTTTTCTTTACGAATAGAATGTTTTCATTGGCATAATTACCTCATCCTCATTTATCATTGGCTTACAGTGAATGACGTCATTAATCCAACCAATGGAGTTCACTATATTCTTAAGTTAGCCGAGTTGCCGCCAAAGAAAACGAAGTGATTATGTAACCCACAAGAAAAAATAAAAAAGGTGCTAAAGTTTTATAACTTTATTAAATTAAAAATTCGATGAACTGAGAATTAAATTGCTAAATATCTCCAAATTGGAAATAATTTAGTTAAAACAAATAAGTTATGCTTGCTTTCGTAACGCCATCTAGAATGAGACAATGTGAACTTTTATTTTCCATGTTATGTCAAGAGATGGCGCTTAGTTAGAAAAATTCAATGTGAGTAGTTTTCCCTTTTTTTCAACGTCCTTGGTTGGTTTTCATTTAACACGTCGACTTTTGATTTCCGTCGGAATAAACAGAAGTGTGCATACAATGTAACATCGGTTATTAATAGTTAGGTACGCTAGGACTTGGGACTCCTAGCGTCTCATATGGGTGAGAATAAGTAAATTAATTACGTAGGTAGGTACTTCATTATATACGGTAGGTACCTACTTAAACTAGCGACCAGCCCCGACTTCGCACGGCTGTAATATGCATATAAATCTTCCCTATAACTCTATCTAATAAAAAAGACCACTTCAAAATCCGTTGCGTAATTTTACAGATTTAAGCATACATAGGGACAGACAGACGTCGAATAGCGAGTTAGCGACCTTGTTTTATATTATGTAGTGATATCGTACAGGCGAGATTGTAGTAGTATGAAAATAATTATAAAGCATTTAATAATTTTCTTTAAATAGAATTTGGAAAGAGCTGGTAGAAAATTCAATCTTTTAGGTAAGAATTGAGTGTCAAACAAGTCACTTTCGAGTCACTAAAACAAAAACTAACAAAACGTACAAAAATCAATAAAACACAAAATCATTCGAAAAATAACCATTTATTCATGTACAATATTGGTGTTAATTAAACTATAATTATAACACTTTACTTTTAACTTTATTTAATAATTACTTTATTTTGATTAGGTAATTAAAAATATACTAGAAGTATACCTACAGAGCGGAAATCAATGGGGCTGTTGGTAGAAGGTGCCCTAACTAGACGGACATATACAGACCAGTGGGCTTACTCTTGAATCTAATTCCGACCGATCGATATTGGTGTTGTGAAATTTCGTACTCTTGAGTTGTAACACTAGCGCCCATTGCACCTGTATTGCGTGGATATTGAATGAACTGAATGGAGTTTGGCTTATATTCCGTACTCTGAATACTACTTTAACAGCTACGGTAGGGGTTGTATAGTTTTGACATTGATTAATTATTGAAAGTTTAGGATTGAAATTGCATTGACATTAAGATTGGTTTCAAGATTAAGCAAAGCACCCAGATTGACGATACGTTAAAGAAGGGTCAAAATTAAAGTGCCCTTAACCGACGAGCATGCATGAAAAGACTGATGAGAGTTGATGAAGCGAAAGAGGTATGTAAGAATGGTAGCAATTGGGTGCTTTCCTCAATCAAAAATAAATTATTTCGACTGTTCATCACAATAAAATATTAAAAAATAATCACACTTTCATTAATTGACTTTATGACCAATTTCATTTCAGTATCTTTGCAACAAATTTTTAAGAAATAAGTATGCTGTGTAATGTTAAAATAACGTGACGTCACAATACACAATCTCGTACAAAATTCATAGAACCCTGTCGTTTTTGACAGTCCGAAAATAGTATTGAATTTGACTAGTTGTCAAGTACCTAACTAACAGCTTAATATAATGTATCTGTCTGAATTGTGTATGTCCCCTCAACTATTTTCTACACCACTGTATATATACAGTAAAATAGTTGATAATGTTTATGTTTTACTAACCCAATTGTTTTGTCCTTTCAGCTACTAACAACTAAAAACTACCACAAAGTTAATTTCGACGGTTCATTAAACTGCCGTCACCACGACACTGGCAGTATAGTCGACAAGATCGTTTTGGAGACTCGTTTGCCAAAGAAGAGAAAAAAAAAATTAGATATGGATTAAATGAATAATTTTGTGCAAAACTTGTGGCACCGACTTCTCACCTATCAGTGGGTGTGTAAGCTATATATAAGTACGTATGACCAATAACAGTTATTTCTTGTATTTTAGTTTTTACTTTTCGTTTGTTTTAAGTTTTTGAAGCCGTTTTTTTAAACGCAGTTTTTTTTGTTTTATTGTATCCTGTTGTTCTTGTAGTTGTGTTTGTGATATAATAGTCTCTGCCTACCCACATGGGAGACAGGCGTGAGGTTATGGTTATGTATGTATGTATTAACCGGTTGAATACGCCGATATGAGACATACCTAATAATACCTCTAAATACGTTTTTTCTCACGTGGACCCGCGTTCAAACACATCAAAGGTTTAACCAGATTCAATCTTAACTAACTATTATGCTCTTTGCCTTACTCACGTAATTATTTGACGAGGAATTCGACTAGTTCCAAACCATGCTAGAGGCTCATTTCTTGAGCAGCATTCCACGACCCGCGACGCGACGTCTATCACGCTGCTACTGACTCTAAGGTGTCTAGCATATCTTGAAACTAGTCGAGTTCCTCGTCAAATATCAACGCGGGTAAGCCGGAAAACATAATAATTAATGTACCTAGTATGTCTCCCGACAATTATACGTATAGATTCTGTCTTTATTCAACCAAAAATATTTTGTTCATAATTAGGTAGAAGTTTTAAGTGTGGGCTCGCCATGTTTCGGCACGAATGGGCCGGCTCGACGGCAGTGATACCACGGCCTCACAGAAAACCGACGTGAAACAACGCTTGCGTTATTTCGCGTGTGAGTAAGGTTACCGAAGGACCAATTACCCCCCACCCCTTCATTTCCCCAATCCCTGAATCCCCAACAATCCTCAAATTCCTAATCCCAAAAGGCCGGTAACGCCAGCCAGGTGTCCATGAGCGATGCCGATCGCTTACCTTCAGAGGCCTTAGTATGAGTTTGATACGAGTATGCGTTCGGCACTCTTATTGGCCGGCGCCAATGAAGCAACCAATCACAGCGCCGAACGCGTACTCATTACGATTACTTTGAACATAAAACCAACTCGTACTAAGGCCTCAGGTGATCGGTCTGCTCGTGTACCGGCTTATGCCATAAAAAAAGTTTTATATGTGAAACAATAAGAGCTACAATATTGCACTTCCATGTATTTATGTCACACATTTATACAACAAAATACGTTATGTTAATTAAATAGGAACCATGTATAGTGTTTTAGGACAAAACATAGGCACCTGATTACCTGACTTCCAGCTTGGTGTAGTTATTTACAAAAGGTGCACTTATTATATATAACATCACGCCTTTTATCCCCGAAAGGGTAAGCAGAGGTAAATAAAATAATAAAAATAAAAATCGTTTATTTGTAAAAACAGATTACGGAACCTATAAATTGTGATTGGAGCCTCCTTTTAAGCAAGATATGCCTGTGTTAGGAAACTCCACTCCTTCACAACAAGAGGTGCACATTATACCACTGTGCAATGTAACACCCACTTTTCACTATTTATGTTATCGAGTCCCATGTAATAGGGGGTGAGCCTCTTGCTCTTGCCATATACCGGGCACAATTCCAGACTCCGTGCTACTACTGAGAATATTTAAAAACCCAGTAATATTTTGCCCGACCCGGGAATCGAACCCGAGACCCCTTGCCCGGCAATCGCACTTACGACCACTCGGCCAAAGAAGCAGTTATTTTTGCAGTGTAGAGAAATGTACCATAATATGCATATTATCATTGCACATTGAGGGCCGTCTTACGTCCAGTTTCAATAACCTATCTATCTGTAGATTTGCTTAATATAGATAGAATTTTGACATAAGCTCCATACAAAAAGTGACAAAATTCTATCTCTATAGTCAGAATTTTAATTAGATTCCAGATTTCACAATAGCTACTGTCATTTTGTGAAATATTGATACCACATATAATAGTGTAGTGATGAACACAAAAATCGATAAACAATCAGTGTGTGTGTTTTATAATAAATGTTACAGAAAGCGATAGCGATGACGGCGACAATTTACAAAATAACTTATTACCATAATACATCTATCTGTTTTATTTGTCATGATCCTTCATGATTACATTTTTTTATTTATTTGACACACAATTACAAAAGAAAAGTCAGAATTATAAACGAGAAGAATCGATTCAGAAATATTGCATTTCCATATCGAATAAATTCGCAACGTCACTATTTATTACTTGTCATAACGTCGCAACACTGAAATTGTCAAATCTGGAATCGAATTAAAATTCTGACTATAGTAAGCAAATCTACAGATAGATAGGTTATAGAAATTGGACGTTAGACTACGCTGGGGCCCTTTTGGAATGCGTTCTTTTTTATCTTGACCCATACTGGGATTCATCATCATTCCTATTACAAACATACAAGTTCACATATGTACACATGACACCCAGACCCGAAACAACAATTTGCCGAGCACACAAGTTACACGGCAGCCGGTTGCCACGCAACGTGTAGCGAATATGTGTCCGCCTTAGGAATAGGGATGATGACGGGGTAAGAAAATTAAAAATCTAATTACTTTGTCCGTCAGTTAGGTAATGAAAAAAATGTAGATACCTACGTATATTTTATTTTGTTGACATAATAATCTTAGATAGGTATGTATTTTTTTATTTTGTCGTATAATAAAACAATACTTAAATAAAACGAATCAAAGTTTAGGAGTGGGGGCTAAAACGTCATTTCTACGTATAAAATGTACATAGAAGTGACGTCACACGACATTTCAAATCAATATATCGTCGAAAGTATTTGTTTCTGTAAAAAAAAATAAAAAATACGTGTCTAATGTTTTGAAATAATCTACCAGACGGACATTAAAATAAAAATTAGCCATCTACCTATAATTGTCGGGCCCCCTACCTCAGTATGGGAGTCCTGGGCACAGGCCCCGAGTGCCCTTATGGTAAAGACTGTACTTCTTTACAATAAACTCTTGTCTTACATGACTAGCATTAAAATCACAAAATGGACGGACATACATACGTATTACGTAGGTAAGTAGTATACTAATATATATCTACCTATTATTAAGAGTAAAACTATCACTTTGTCTTATTTTGGACGGAATAAATAACATTAAGGGCGCGTCCACATCTGGCGGCAGTGCCGCTCGCGAGTCGTCTGCGGGATGCGTGCAGTCACGGGAATGGTTTGGTGCTCAACTCATACAATGTTCGTATACATACTTAATAACTTTAAAGAGAAAAAAAACGGCGTGAAACGACGCTTGCATTGTGTTTCGTCGTGAGAGTGAGGTTACCAGAATGAGGTTACTTCTCAATCCAAGGGGCCACCCATGAATTACGTCCCACGAATTTCATGATTTTTTGCCCCTCCCCCCGTCCTTGTCATCACATTTGTGAGAGCCCCCTAGTGTGACGACACATTTTGCAGAATTACGTATGTATAAAAATTACTGAATGAAAACAGCAGTTCCGAAAACAGTTTTATTTCTATTTAAATTACTTTAAAAATATATTAATAACAAATCAAACAAAATAAAAAACATTAAACGTAACATCACGCCTTTTATCCCCGAAGGGGGAGGCAGAGGAACACATTATGCCACTGTACAATGTAACACCCACTTTTCACTATTTATTTATGTTATGAGTCTCATGTAATAGGGGGTGAGCCTACTGCCATAATACCGAGCACAGTTCCAGACTCCGTGCTACTACTGAGAATTAAAAACCCAGTAGTACATTGCCCGACCCGGGAATCGAACCCGAGACCCCTTGCTCGGCAGTCGCACTTGCGACTACTCGGCCAACGAGGCAGTCAAAAACATTAATATAATTGTATTTCGTGTTTTATAATACTTTTTGAAGTATTACGTCTGAAAGTTTAGGGTCCCTCCCTCCCCCTTGTCACACAATGTCACACTTCGTCGACCTCCTCCGTACCCCTTAACGTGTGACGTAATTTATGGACGGCCCCCAATCTCCCCAATCCCTGAATTTAGAACAATTATCAAATTCCTAATCCTCATAAGTCCGGCAACGCACGCCTCTGGTGTATTGAGTGTTACCATCAGGTGATCCGTCAACTCATTAACAGTCAGGGTTTCCCAAACTATGGGTCGCGACCCATTGGTGGGTCGCAAGTGAAATTTTAGTGGGCCTTGTCTGTATAATGACACACTAACCAACCATTCTATATTCTATATTTTACTTTTCCTATTGGTAACAGTTTCATTTCCTAAAAGTGGATCCATAGTCTGCTACCCCCCATGGGAGACAGCCGTGTTATGTATATATGGGTCCTGAGGTTTGTAACTTGATTTAGATAGGTCGTAGTCTTCACAACTTTGGGAACCACTGCATTAACTGATATATCACATAAAAAATATCTTTCTATCTCTATAAATATCCTAGTTATTTAATCTGGAGTGGTGGATGATGGTGCTGGTGCCGGTGGTTCGTCTCTGGCAGCGAGGAGCGAGCGCAGCGCGAGGGTCTCCTGTCTCAGAGCCGCAACGTGAGCCCTGAGGGACGCATTCTCTTGCTCTAGGAGACAGGCGCGCCATGCTATCTAGAAGAGGAAGAGAAAACTTACAAAGGTTCACAAAAATATAAGTGTGTGAGAGCCATGCTTCGGCACGAATGGGCCGGCTCGACTGGAGTGATACCACGGCCTCACAGAAAACCGACGTGAAGCAACGCTTGCGTTGTGTTTCGTCGTGTGAGTGAGGTTACCGGAGGCCCAATTGCCCTCCCCTTCCCCAATCTCCCCAATCCCTGAATCCCAATGATCCTCAAACTCCTAATTCCCAAATGGCCGGTAACGCACTTGTGACGCCTCTGGTGTTCCAGGTGTCCATGGGTGACGCCGATTGCTTTCCATCAGGTGATCCGTCTGCTCGTTTACCGGCTTATGTCATAAAAAAGGCTATATTTCAAATTGGTTGCGCAACCATACCGACACCAGGCGAGTAACTCTCTGCAGAGGCCTTATTACGAGTTTCCATTACGTTTAAAGTACCGCGTACGCGTTCGGCGCTCTGATTGGCCGGTTCCAATCAACCAACTAATCAGAGCGCCGGACGAGGTTTTGACTACTTTAAACGTAAAACAAACTCGTACTAAGGCTAAGAACTGTATACGTTTTGTTGGTTGCGGCGACTGGTTGTCGAACTGTATGAACTAGGAGTCTATTGTCTAAATACCGAAACGCCGCTAATTTTAAGTCGCGCTTAAGCATAGTTCCGTCACAACAAATTCTTTGTAAAATGACAGAGATGGCACGATATTTAAGTACTACTTAAAATTGAGGTTCAGTATTGGGGCTATAAGTTATAACATTTGCCCGCTGCACCGGCGGGCGCGGCTAGCACCCGCGCGCTTTGCAATCGGTTAGCGGACGATCGCAATGGGACGGCCGGTCTGGAACTTAACTCGTTATTTAACCGCCTGCTCGTCTTGCGATAATCAACCGCCAATTTCGGGCGATCGTAGAAAACTGTGGTCTCTTGCGTTTTGAAAATTCCGCCTCCATTCCGCGGCGGGCGCTTGAGAAAATCGCGCTTTGAGTCCTTAGCCTTAGTCCGTAGAGGACTGCCAGTCTGTCGGTACTGATTGAAAGTTAAGTATTTAGTAAAAATGTCGTGGTGGCCCGGAGGTTTAAGACGCCGGCTTCTCATGCATTATTGTGCGGGTTCGAAACCTACCAACGGCACGTACCAATGTGAGTTTTTCCGAGTTATACGTACTTTCTAAGATTATTCAGATACCACTGACAAACGGTGAAGGAAAACATCGTGAGGAAACCTGGGCTTATAATTTCTAATTATAAGTTTGTCATCGCCAACCCGCATTGAGCAAGCGTGGTGATTAATGCTCAAACCTTCTCCGTGTGTGAAGAGGCTTTGCTCAGCAGTGGGCATTTATAGGCTGTTGATGATGATGATCATGATTCAGTAAAGCTTCATATTTTCTATTTACACAAAATACCTGGTCTTCTCGAATCCGTCGCGCGTCTCTTGACTTCTTAGCAGCTTGGTTGTTACGTCGTCTTCTTTCGAAGTACTTCTCGTCTTTTAATTCAGGCGGGATTGGTCTTTTCTCGCCGCGCCGTCGGATTTCCAACTCCGTGGTGGGTGATGGGAGCACTAAGGATTAACAATGAGAAAGAGAGGATTTCAAATAAGGATTAATTTATTATCCTCTTGTCTGTATTGTAACTTTCGTGAGACATACTAAATAAAATATTATGTTTTCGGCTTACAAGGAACTCGACTAGTTTCAAGCCATGCTAGAGGCTCATATTCATGAGCAGCATTTCGCGACTCGTCGAGTTCCTCGTCGAATTACTACGTGAGTAAGCCGAAAACATAATAATTTATCCTCTTGTCTGTTGACAGTTGCGGGTATAATGTGTTTTATACCGGGAGCCGGTGTTTCAACCGATAAAAGGCTAAGTAAGTAGGTACCTAGTTGTTACCAGAGGATACGTGGTCAGAGTGAAAATCTTGTCTATCACTCTCCAACCTCGTATAGTTACAGTCACAATAATCAACGTTGCGACATGGAAGTAAGACAAACATACATGCTGTCGTATACAGGTGTCCCTGTCGCGGGGAACCTAACGGGTTACCGGGGCTCCGGCTCGATGTGCAGGAGAAGGAACAGGGTGGTTTTTAGTCAGTAAGAGTCTGACACTCCCTCCCGCCTCACCCAGGCGGGAGCAGTCATTCGATGAATTTCACCCGTTAAAAAAAATACAGGTGTCCCTGAAGTCGACGATCAAATGGCACCAGTTGATCGGCAAAGTTCCAACAGTTATCAGATAAATATAAAAAATGTAAGTCATATAGTTTTCAAATTACAATGACTTATGTGTAATCCACGAAAAAGTACATCATTTTTTTGTGTCGTATTTAAGAAATAATAAGGAAGTGGTAGACCATTTTAGAATCCTTATTAAGTGCACCAACTTTGGTGAAATTTGCCACTTCTAGCTCAGTACAAACTTTTTACGGTACAGTCACTTGAAGTAAGGTGATTTTTAAAAACACTTCATTCATCAAAAAACGATACTTTTTTCCAAACTAACGCAGTTGGCGAAAGTAGTATTAACTAGAGCGCTATTCAGGATATAACGTAAGCAAAAATACAGACGAAAAAATTGTAGCAGCAAAAATAAAAAAACACACAGTGTATTTTTTCATGGATTAAGTGTGGGAGAGCCATGCTTCGGCATAAATGGGCCGGCTCGACCGGAGTGATACCACGGCCTCACAGAAGACCGACGTGAAATAACGTAGTGTTGTGTTTCGTCGTGTGAGTGTGGTTACTGGATGCCCAATTACCCCTTCCTTTCCCCAATCGCTGAATCCCCAACAATCCTCAAATTCCTAATCCCAAAAGGCCGGTTACGCACTCGTAACGCCTCTGGTGTTCCTGGTGTTCTGGGCGGCGCCAATTATTTACCGTCAGGTGATCCGTTTGCTCGTTTAGCGGCTTATCCCATAAAAAACCCGAGCGTACGGCGCGTCGCGTTCCGCGCGCGCCTCAAAGACCCATTAGACCACCACAGATGGGGCCCAATAGGGCCGATGCCGATTCGGAGTCGCGGAGAACCTAACGGGTAACCGGGGCTCCGGCTCGACGTGCAGGAGAAGGAACGGGGTGGTTTTTAGTCAGTAAGAGTCTGACACTCCCTCCCGCCTCACCCAGGCGGGAGCAGTAATTCGATGATTTTCCCCCCCTTAAAAAAAATCCCATAAAAAATGGATTACACCAACATAAGTCATTGTAATCTTATTCAGAGGCCTTAATACGGGTTTGTTATGTTTAAAATAATCGTAACGAGTACGCGTTCGGCGCTCTGGTTGGTTGGTTCATTGGCGCCGGCCAATCAGAGTGCCGAACGCGTACTCGTTTTGAATACTTTAATCGTAAATGAAACTCGTACTCTGATAACTGTTGGAACCTTGCCAATTAAAGTTTCTTGATGTCATTTTAAAATAATATATGTCAGTTGTTTAATGTTATCGAAAACTAACATTGAAATAGAATCGTAGATTTTACCGTATTCCGTAGCTAAGTTTACCTGTCAGTCCATCACTACATAGTATAAAACAAAGTTGCTATCCACTGTCTGTCTGTCCCTATGTACGCTTAGGTCCTTAAAACTATGCAACGGATTTTGATGCGGTTTTTTTAATTGATAGTGATTTTTAAACTGTCAAACACCAAGCGGTCACCGGTGACCGCAACCTATTGTTCTATAATTGTGTCTACAAAACCGGTACTCGACGAGTTAAGGAAGGTTTAAATTTATACTAGCAACCCGCCCCGGCTTCGCACGGGTGCAATATGCATATATTATACATATAAACTTTTCGAATCACTCTATCTATTAGAAAAACCGCATCAAAATTCGTTGCGTAGTTTTAAAGATCTAAGCATACATAAGGACAGACAGACGGCGGATAGCGACTTTGTTTCATACTATGTAGTGAATACACGCATATTGCACCCGTGCGAAGCCGGGGCGGGTCGCTAGTACCATACAAAGAACAGAGAATGAAGGTAGGTACTTACATGAAGTATTCCTAGGAGGCAGATGATGACAATAAGGAGGTAAGCAGTGAAGTTGAGGAGGTAACGCCGCAAGTAATGGATTGACTACGTTGTGCACATCTAGAAGAAAACAAATTATTTTAGTATCTCTACTTACTAGTTTCGAACCACGGAAGGTTTCTTCCTCATGAGCAGCCTGTGGTTCAAAACTAGTAGAGCTTTTCTTTCTCAGTGTATTCACGTGAGTAACCCGCGATTTTAGTTAAATTAGCATAACTATATAAAGCTACTCAGTATTTGTGAAGAGTATGCGGGAGCCCATGGGCTCAAATACAATGTAAAAAAAAGTGAGATTATGGTATTTAAAGCACCTAAAAAAGAGGTTACTGTGGTATCTCCAATCAAACTCTATGGCACACCATTGAACCAAGTCACTCACTTCAAGTATCTGGGCCACTGGGTCACCGAGGACCTTAAGGATGATATGGATGTGGAGAGGGAACGCAGGGCGTTGTCTGTTCGCTGCAACATGTTGGCTCGCAGATTCGCACGGTGTACTGAACAAGTGAAGGTCACACTGTTTAGAGCTTTCTGCCAGACCTTTTACACATGCAGCCTGTGGACCAAACATACGCAGAGAACATACAACGCGCTGCGTGTGCAATACAATAATGCGTTCAGGGTGCTGATGGGGCTGCCGCGGTACTGTAGCGCCAGTGGTATGTTCGCGGAGGCGCGCGTGGACGGCTTTCACGCCATCATACGCAAGCGAAGTGCGTCTTTAATGGCGCGGGTGCGCGGCAGCCCCAGCGCCATCCTGGCCGCGTGCGCAGTCCGATGGGACTCTGTACTAATGGCGCACTGTATAGGCCTACACGCTAAAGCGAATGT